CTTACAGGCGCAGCCCATTACAACTATAGCTGCCACGCTACTAATAAGGCACACCTACTATTTTAGGATAATTTATGGTAGAGTATAGACTAAACTTCTAATGTTTAAATATACTTAGTTACGGAATTATACTATCGTAGGAGAAAGAGGCTATAGTTAAAGAAATAAGGTGTAACGATGTTACAACTTCGCCATGTATCGGACCAATCCCAGAGCCGGATCGGAGGTAGTACTCGCCGCCCTCTTCATCAACCACTCGTTGTGAGGTCGGATCCGATTCGGATCCGACTAAGATAAGTATATAAGGAGACACTCCCTGTAGCTAGCTCTGTAGACTTTTGATATCCTTTCGTACAAGGCCTATAGGTGTCTATTCGAATTAAGGCTCGTTTGATGTCCCACGCACTCCCATATGCCTCTGAGTGACACTACCGCCGATACTGATCCGAGTAGTCTTGCCTGCGCCGTTACATAAGGCAGCTCTATCACGAGACGAAAAGAATGCGAAATCACTCGTAGTTTTAAATTCTAAAGCGTACATATCATTCTAAAGTAGACTCTAGCTATTATTACGATAGAAGCAAGTTAACTTTCTCATGTATTAAAGTTATTAACATGGGCTAAGTTTAAAGTACCGGTAATTTGTCTCTATTCGTTGTGTGTCTCGATGCACAGTCGATGACCTTGGTTGCATTTTCAAAACACTAATCATCGAGTTCTTGTACTTTTGTATTACGTACTAGATAGGAAAACAATGGCTCTTTCACGAGACTTCAAAGCCCTCAATGTCGCCCTTGGCATGATAATCGCGGATTATACGCTCATACGCGGCGGTGCCACCGCCAAAGAGCACCTTTCGCATAGCCAGGCGGCGTCTTTCAGGGGAGCTAGCAGCATTGCGCGTCGTGACACCCTCATGATTAAAGTAGCCTGGGGTGCAGGGGAGCACGACTGAATACCATAGGGCACGCTTCTCGACCTCATCTGTCCAAGCATCCTCTGCTTGTTTGCTAGGCTGAATAACAAGCTTTGTTGGGTCAGATACACGACTAGCAGCTGTTTTTAGGATATTGGCAATATGTGTAGCCTCAAGATCAAAGACAACGGTAAGGTTAGGTGAGCCAGGACCACCGCCAAGGCCAGCATAGAGTAGGTTGGGGAACCCATTTGTGGCGATACCGTGGAGGGTGCCAAAGTCAGGCGAAGTGTACTTATCCTTGAGGCGGCGGCCGTTGCGACCAACGACGGGGATGCCAAAGAACTCAGCAGGGGCAGTATTGTCGCCAGTGGCCAGCAGGAAGCCCGTGGCGAGGATGAGCACGTCGAGCTCATACTCGACGCCGTTGACAACGAGACCGCGCTCGGTGCAGCGTTCGACGCCGTGGCCGTCGGTGTCGACGAGGGTGACGTTGGTCTTGTTGAAGGTGGGTAGGTAGTCGTCCTGGAAGGTGGGGCGCTTGCACCACATGGGGTACCACGGCTGCAGACGCTCGGCGGCAGCCTTGTTTTGGCTGACTGTGTCGCGGATGGTTGCGCGGGCCTGGTGGGTTAGCGGGTCGTCGATTTCCTGGAGCTTCCGCAAGTGCTCCCCAACCTTGTCAGGGGAGACGATGCGCGGGCCGCCAATGAAGCCGGCAAATCCGCGGGCCGTCTGGGTCCAGCCATCGGCGACGAGATCGGGATGGTCAGGCGGGGGGTTGTCGCCGGCGAAGAAGGCGTCGAAGTTGAGGCTGCGGGCGCGCTGCCAGCCGGGGCCAGTCGCAACGTCACGTGACCATGTGTTGGCGTTGGTCTGCTGCTGGTGGCGGGGGCCGCAGTACGAGGGCGTTCGTTGGAAGACAAGCAGCTGGTCGGCCCAGCGCGCAACCTCAGGTACCACCTGCACCGCCGTTGATCCTGTGCCCATAACGCCCACACGTTTGCCCTTCAGGCCTGACAGCGTGGCTTCTGCCGGCGAGCCGCCCGTGACGCTGTAGTCCCAGCGCGCCGTGTGGAAGACGGGAATCTTGGCCTGCAGCTTTTCAAAGCCCTCCAGCTTGGGCATGCGCGGCGCCGTGAAGAGGGTGCTGGCTGGCATGAGGAACTGTGTCAGTACCGTAAACACCTCGCCCGCCCCGGCGCCATGCTCCCGTTGCAGGCGCACCACCCACCGCCGCCGCTCCTCGTCCCACGTTGCATCCAGCACCCGTGTCGAGAATTGCCCGCGCAGCCCAAAGTGCCCAGCCACTCGCTCGCAGTGCTGGCGGATCTCCTCGCCCGATGGATACTTGCGCGTGGGCACGTAGCCCGTCTCCTCCAGGAAGGGCATGTAGATGTAACTCTCGATATCGCACTGCAGCCCAGGGTACCGGTTCCAGTACCACGTACCGCCAAAGCCGCCTGCCACGTCCACCAGGCATATGCCCTTGGCTGAGAAGCCCGCCTCGACCAGCCGTCCTGCCGTGATCAACCCAACGTGACCTGCCCCGATGATGAGGAACTGTATATCGTCGCCGTCCTTGAGCGGTCCCCTCTCTTGTCCAGCCTCCACCCACGGGTCGTCAGAGAGCGGTTTGTCTTGTTCGCTGGGTAGGCGGCTGTACTGTTGCATGCCATCCTCCCGCATTCGCTTGTCTCGCTCCTGCGCATATCGCGCTTCCAACTCCCTCTGCTCAGCTATAGCCATTGTTGTTTTGCCTCGTGTCCGTCCCTCTTTGCAAGAGAGATGAGAAATCAGATCGAAATGTCTGGCCTTGACTGACCGAGCCGAGCTATTTTATGACCCCAATGTTCTCCTCAGTCCATCCGTGCTGCTCTTGTCTTTTCCGTCTCTTCTGCCCCATCCTTGGTCCGCTCGGGTTGATCAAGCACAAAGTCAAGGGTGGTGGGGCAAACATGTCGGACCCCGACGTCAACCAAAATCCTCCGTGCACGTGTATCTACTAAACTGGGAGCCGCAAGTGGGCTCGTGCGCTATCTGGCATACCAACTCAACGTACTGTATAGTACTATTACAATTTTAATGCCAGTCTAGCTGCTGCAGAGTCACTCATTATCTGCTGGGTAAGGACTTGGGGGCATGACGGTGAGGCCTTGCCCAAATGTATAGATTAATATGACCAAGAACTTGATCCTAGTGCCATGACCTTACAGCTTATTTCTACCTGAGCATTGGACATCATCCAAACTATCCATATTTTGCACGTTTATAGCAGGAGCCACTATTGATTTTACATAGTGTCGTGGCCTTGTAAGTCGCTCCAACGGGACTAGATTCGCTTGAGACACGTACGAATAATTTGGCAATCGCTACTGCGCTTCAATATCATCTTCTTGTGGTACGAGACTGATAACGTGTTACTTGGGCACAACAGAGATATCAGGCCCTAGATAGTCCCTTGTCTGAAAAACTATCTGTTTCGCTTGGTGTGTTAACCTACGAAAAAAAACAAGCCCCCCCAATGAGTGCAAAATCAGAATGACTCAAATCAGGGTTCACCATCCCTAGAAATGTATGCAGCTGCCTAGTATCGAGTTCTGGCCTAGCTATTGTCCTAAAAAAACGAAAAAGAATGACGAATCCTTCTTCAGTCCGTACCCAGTTCTACCTACTTTTGACTCTCTTACTATCGACTGCACCCATACGGATGCGATAGGAAAAGCATTACAAGTGCGACCCACTTTCTTAACGTACAGGAAGCATGCTGCGGAGGCTCTGACTAGGTCAACTGCGCCGAGGTTTCCGGTGACCTCTTGCTCCACCAGCTCTTTCACAACAAATGTACCGACAACCACTCAAACTCACCGAAACACCTTGCATGCCGTGTCTAGTTTGTTTCGACATACGGACAATACAACGGATATGATGCAGATCCGAGATACTCAACCTGGGGAGACTGTATTTTTTAAGTAGCAGTTTGCACTCCAAGTGTTAGACATCCAAAGACACTCCGTTCCCAGTAAATTCTTTTACCACTGAATGCTTTTGGCCATTTTTTACACCCCAGTAAAGCTACACAGACAATATGTCGTCGACACAATACACCGTAACGGAGACAGTAACCACTCCACAGTCGTCCATCTCTTCAAGGCCTAAAAATTTGGCGCCTCAGCCCTTTTCCTGGCGACCATACTTGGAGCTCACACGCTTCAGTAAGCCCGCTGGTCTCTTGGGCGTCTACTTCCCCTATTTTATAGGACTCCTCTACTCGGTCAATCTGACCAACCCGAGGGGCCTATCCACAGCCGACTGGCTCAAGCTCATCGCTGTCTTCCTGCTCGATGGTCTGCTTATCCGAAGTCTCGGCTGCGCCTGGAATGACACTGTCGACCAAGATCTTGATCGCCAGGTCGAGCGCTGCAAGAAGCGGCCGCTCGCTCGTGGTGCCCTTACGACGCCAGAAGCACTCGCTGCCACACTCCTCCTCTCCCTCGCCCGCCACACCTTACTTTACGCAACACTGTCAGCTCGTGCAAACCAGCACGCCCTGCTGATCACCATCTTGGGCTTGGCTTACCCCTTCATGAAGCGCGTCTGCAACTTCCCACAGCTCTGCCTCGGTCTGGGTGTAGGATGGGCTGTATTCCTGGTTGACGCTGCTGTCGCCGATGGCTATGGAGCTGGCAACGTCTCTGGATTCAACGAGGAGAGCCGCAATAAGGCTACACTTGCCATATTCGCTTCCCAGGCCCTGTTCAACATCACTTACGACACCATCTATGCCTTCCAGGACATTCGGGACGATCTCAAAGTAGGCGTGGGTTCGCTGGCTGTGGCTGTGCGTCACCGGCCCAAGTTGTTTCTATTGTCCGTTGCAAGTGCCATGGCCGCCTTCTTGTGGGTCGCCGTATCCTTCGGCCATCTCGTACTCGGCCCATTCCAAGCTGGTGTCGTCCTTGCTTCCCTCTCCACACTTGTTATGTTGATCCGGATCGATGTGTGGAACCCGCGTATGTGCAGGGACTTCTTCGTGAACAGCCAGTGGTGGGTGAGCGGCGCTTTGTTGGCTGGTCTTTTGGGAGAACTTGTCATCAACAACTTGTAAGTCTAGGACTTGACAATAGGAACGATATCTAGTAAGATTATTGTGTTATAGTATCACGTTATCAGACTACAGATATATATTACAATTTCCTCGTAACTATACATAGATAGTGACATTCTTCAATGAATCCTTTAGCAGCAATTACGTTTTAGCTTTGCCCTACTAGCTCGATTGCAGGTCGCCTCTTAATCCTTTCAAGCTTAATCTTATAATACACTGTATTATATATAGAATAAGAATTAGAAGAAAAATTAATACAAGTAGTACTAAATAGGGTTGATTTTTACAAAGAAATAGACTTCTAAAAACTTAGCTCAGTAGATATATACATATATCAATTATTAATAATAGAGCTAGTAATAAGTAGAACACGTATTAGATACTATGAGTAGATCGTAGACTCCAGCTATTCTCTATAGCTTAAGTAATATAATAAATTTTAGTTTCTAATAGTATTCTATAAATGTAACGGCGCAGGCAAGACTACTCGGATTAGTATCGGCAGTAGTGTCACTCAGAGGCATATGGGAGTGCGTGGGACGTCAAACGAGCCTTGATTCGAATAGACACCTATAGGCCTTGTACGAAAGGATATCAAACATCTATCGAGCTACTATGGAGAACGGGTGGGGTTTTATATCAGCAGATCTGCCCTAGGCTAGTTCGTGCCCATGTTCGGATCCCTTTCGGATGTTGGTTCGGTAGGTACTCGAACCGTTACAATAAAGGGCAAACCTATAACACTAGGTACATACCCATACACAACTGCAGACAACTTCGAGTTTTCTAGAATAGGTGTAATTTTAGTCAAATATATATAAACCCCTCGCGAGAAATCGATTACAATCACCTTTAAAGCGTGCACGCCACGCGCTGTGGAGCTATAGGCTGTTAAAGTGATCACTTTAGACACGTCTTATTTTTCACCGAAAAACACACAGACCAGGTGGATTAGTAATCAAAATGCCACCCGATAGTGATACTATCGACGTACACGTGCCAGGCACCCAGGCGAGAGCAGAAATCGAAGCTCAGATCCAGAATGAGATAGATATGGAAACCACGGAACCAGCGACGCCTACGCAGACTACTATACCTAGCGTAGTTAAAATACCAATCCTCCCACCAAATAAACGGCAGGCAAACTTCTCGCCAGAAATACGCACTAGGAGCAACTTCTCACCATTTAGAGGAGCTACGCTTAGATTCAGTACTCAAAGCAGAACTCCGAAGGCAATATCAGTACAAGAGGCGCTAGAAATAGCGAGAAACCTAGTAGTCCAAGCAGCTAATCTAGCTGAAAATAAC